ACAATTCTCAACATAGTACTGACAAATAAAAAAAAGATGGGTCCTCTGCTTTGTTCTGTCCCAACCACAGTCTCCCATCAACCATTGAAAATACCAAGCTCTGTCTGATTGTCAGCGTCTTTGCACTTGCCATTCCCTCTGCCTGCAATGCTCTTCCCACGCGGAATCCTTCTCATACTTCAGATCTCAGCTCAAACACCACCTTGCCCTGACCTTCCCCCCTTATCTAAAGTAGCACATAGCTCTCCCCCGTTTACTACTACACATTGATTTCATTTTTTTTTTTTAATTCTTTCTCAACACTCCATTCCAGAACATTCTTGTCCGTGAAACTGCTTTATCATCTACCTGGCTACTGATCACCTCCAAAGGAATGTAAAGCTCTCTGAAGTCAGAGACTAACTTTCCCTTGATCATCCATGTTTGACCCAGGGAAAACAGTTAATTGATAAGTGCAGAATAAAGAAAATTAGGTGTGTATGTGTTCAACCTATTTTCAAGATGGAAGAGAGGATGCAAGTGCTGGTGTTCCTTGGGAGTACTTAGCAGGTGATGGGAAGAGGGGAGGGACATACAGGTGGGGCACATTTACTCTGCATGTTCTCCTCCATGGGATGGGTTGCCAAAGAGAAGTATCTCATGCTTTGATCCATCCGGGTTTTGGAAAGGAGAGTGAAATTTCCTAAATGGGCCCTCGGGCCTGCTGCCTTTCCACATGTGGAGTGGGGTCCTAATGTGCAAGCCACGCCTGGCCTGAGGAACTCACCTGGTGGTGCAGCAGGCCGGTGGAGTCACGGAACCCCTTGGGGCAGGCAGAGCATCGGTAGGGCCGCTCACCAGTGTGCGAGCGCAGGTGGTTGGCCAGGTTGAAGCTGTGCTTGAAGCCCTTGCCGCAGCGTGGACATGCGTGGGGCTTGAGCGCTGTGTGCCGGGCAAAGTGGCGCCGCAGGTCTGAGCGGTATCGGAAGCTCTTGCCACATTCGCTGCAGTGAAATGGGACCCGGGGAGTAGCGGCAGGTGGTGCTGGTGCCGGAGCAGAGGCTGGAGCGGGGATGGGGACGGGGGGCACTGTCAGCGGGGTGTCATCCATGGTGGCACACAGTACAGCGGCAGATGGGGACTCTCTCTGGAGTAGGGAGAAAACACAGGAACAGGTGAGGGATCCACTTCCTTACTGACCCTTGCCCCCCTCTGGGCCCACAGACACAACACTGGTCCTCCTAGAAGATACTCCCAGTGCTAAGCCCCGCCCACTAATCTTAAAACTCCTCCCACTCTCTTATTAGTCCTACACCTCCTTTATTTTTTTTTATTTTTTTTTTTTTCATTTTTCTTTTATTATTCATATGTGCATACAAGGCTTGGTTTATTTCTCCCCCCTGCCCCCACACCCTCCCTTACCACCCACTCCACCCCCTCCCGCTCCCCCCCTCAATACCCCAGCAGAAACTATTTTGCCCTTATCTCTAATTTCTACACCTCCTTTAATTTCTTGTATACTTCCAAATAACTTCTACTCCACAGGGTGTTTTTAAGTCTCTCTCACGAATCTTCAGCCCCACCACTGTTTTAAGCTCCTCCCACTCTTGCTTAGGTACCCCTATTCCATTTAGAGTTTCTCCCACAGTTCCTTAACCAGCCTGAATTCCTTTCCAAAACCTCTTTCCCTTTGAAGACGACTACTTAGTGAAAGAGAGGACAAGGATTTTTCGTCATGCTTTCAGGGAGGCCAGAACTAGTCTTGTAACCAATCGAAACTCTTCCCAAATGCAAAGTAAGAATAAAACTAGTACCTACCTTGTGGAGTGGTAGTGCACATTAAGCAAAATTGTGACAATGTGTGCTATGTTCTCACTAAGCCAGTATGCAGCAAAGACTGAAGGGAACTGTCTAGATTATTACTATCCTTTTAAGTTTCACCAGTCACAGCACAGCTTCCATTATCACTATTCTTTAAGTTCCAGTACTTTCCTGTTTTAATCTCACACACTTTCCAAGTTATTCAACTTCTCCAAAGTCTTCCCGTCTTCACTAAGCCGTGCTTCCAAATCCCACACAATTTTTTCTTTCAAAGAAGCCCCATACTTTCCATAACCACCTCCACTGTACTCTTGTCCTTTTCTTAGCCTGATACTAAAGCCCCTTCAATCCCCTCCAAACATTCACTTTCATTACAAAGACCTGATAGTTCCATTAACTCTCCAAATTAACACACCCATATCCCACCCCTTCTATTCTAGGCTCCTCCCACCTTCTTCTAGGGTCCCATTTCCTCACTAAGCCTCAAGGAGGTTCCTTCCATCTTTCAACTTAGGCCTCTTTCACCATCCCTATTTGAACCACGCCCACTCACCAACCCCCACCCCTTAGCTAAGCCCCTCCCACTCCGCTATAAGCTCCGCCCCAATCAGGTCCTCGTGGCCCCTGCACCGCCCCTACCAACTAAAGCCCCGCCCCCCCCCGCGACCTGCGGAGGTGCCCCCCCAACCCAATTTACCCGAAGACTGAGGCCCAGAAAACTGGCACTTTTTACCCCTCCCCCTCTCCCTAAAATGTGCGGTCCCGGTTGCCCCGGGTGGGGGCAGGTCAGGCGGCCCGGGGCCATGCGAGTACACCTCGTTTGTGCGGGGCGGAGGTCGCAGAGACCAGGCATGGCCCCGGGAGGCCGGAAAAGTCAGTCAGCTTTCCTCTTTAATTACTTACACCTCGGTCTGGGCGCCGACATTTTGGGCAGCGGGGGCAGCGTCACTTCCACCCGGGGGGCCCCTCGACTTCCGCCTCGGCTCGCCTCCCCCGCCCCCAGCACTCCCCCTTTCTACCGCCCTCTGGCGCTCTCTCTCCACCCTACCCCGCCCTTCTCGGTCTCCTTCCTTTGCCCAGCCCTCGAGGTTAGAGAAGCCAAGTTGGCGCCATCTTGGGTGAGGGCAAAGGAAGAGGCGGGGCTTAGGGTCACCTGGGGCGCCATTCAGACTAAGGGCAACATACACAGCTCGCGACCTCTCGCAGCCCTTGGCAACAGAAGCGGGTGCTAACATAGATGAGGTTAGATATGATTCCCATTCCTCAGCCTTGCACTGCTTCTAGTTGGATGTCGAATTACATCCGAAAAAAAAAGAGAAATTGACTTGCTCCAGCTGCATACAGAGATAGAAAAGACTAGTCACCATCTTAACAATTTTGCCTCCACGGGACTTCGAAGCTATCGGGCACCATGTTAATTACGGGCACTAAGCAGCCATTTCTCACTTCTCATCTATTCAGTACCTGTCTTTGATTGGGCCACCTGGTTGGGTGCTTGGTGGGAGGAAAGTTATTTTGATGAGGTTGAGGGTTAGTTCCCACTAAGGCGACTGGTGCGCAGGCGCCTGTGCCTGGCCGGGTTGCAAGCATGCCCGGTCCTTAGGACCCAGCGAGTCCCCTTTGTTCCCGGCAGGCGCGAGGGGGAGGGAGGGGCTGCGGACGTCCGCCCCGAGGGGCGGGGCCCGGCCCGCGTGCCACCGCCCCCGCCCCGCCACCGCGGAGGGGCAGGGCCCCCTCTCCCCCGCCCCTTCCCACTCTTCGGCCCGTCGCCCCCCGCGCGCGCACGCGCGCGTACACACACGCGAGCCCAGGCGGCATGCAAATGAGGTACCCAGAGGCGGGGGACCCGGGCGGGGGGCGGGCGGGCGGGAGGGGCGGCCTGGGGCTGCGCGCGCCAAAGCGCGCCCCAGCACCTGTTCCCGCTCCCGAGCTCGCTCCTGCGCGCGCCGACCTCGCGCCCCGCGGAGCGGCCGGGCTTGCGCGCGCAGACCCCTTCCTAGCAGCCCGCGCCGCCTGCTGTCCCCGCGCCGCTCATTGGCCGCCGCCCCCTCAGGGCCCGCCCCGCGCGCGGGCTCCGCCACTCGGGCCAGACGGGAGCGCGCCCGACGAAATTGAGGGTGGGGGAGGGTCGAAGTAACAGCTTTTCCTCTCCCTCAGATTCCAGAGATTTAGCTTCTGGTCCAGGCTGACCCACGTTGGGAAGCATCCGACGATGGAAACCGTAGCCCCAATTTAGACCTCAGACTGTGCCTAGAAAAGGAGGTGTAGGGCTGGCAGTGTAGCTTAGTGGTAGAGCGCTTGCCCAGTATGTGTGAGGCCCTGGGTTAGATCCCCTGCACCCCTCCCCTGTCCCCAATACACATAACTAAAAACCAACCAAACAAAAGAGCACTCAGAACGGGAGCGCAGGGCACCTGCAGTTGCTGTTAGCTGTACCTGTGTTGCCCCCTGTGGTTACTCTCTGTTCCTACACTTCCCAGTGGGCACTGGGAAGATGGTGGTGGAGTGTTACTGTGCACCCAGCAGTGTGCTAGGGGCATTTTTAAGGCCCCTTTCTTACTCTATTCGATTCTCCCCACATCCTAGATATATATCTATTTTCCAGAGGAGGAAACTGGCCCAGAAAGGCAGGGTCGTTTGCAGAATCACTTGCTAATTATTGGCAGAGATGGATTCAAACCTGGGATTAAGAAACCTCAAGACGTCCCCTGTCTCTTTGGGTCCATTTCTTATTCCTGGGGGATCAGCAGGAATAAGAACTGGTTTGGGGTCTTGGTCCTACCACTTATTGGTAGAGGCAGCTTGGGCAACTGACTTGGCTTTCTTGTGCCAAGCCATTCTCTGTTTGTAGAATGGGAAAGGTAGAAAGGTGTACCTTCATTCAGAGACTCATGATGCTAACGATTGCACATACTTCTAAGCACGTCTGTGTATGAACATCCTCATGGCATGTCTGGGGGAGTAGGTATAACAGAGTCCCACTTTGCAGAAGACAACTGAGCTCTTGAGAAGTGAACACCTGCCCAAGGCCACACAGAGGAAGTGAGACTCAGGATTTGAACTCATGATGTCTGACTCCAAAGCCCAGACTCTTAGCAACTTGGATATATGTCCTCATCTACAAGCCAGGGCCACACTTCGGCTAGGACCAGTCCCCTTCCTTCCAGTCCTGACCCTCTTCCCCACTTCTAGTAATCAAGAGTGGGGACAAAAACCTTTCTGAGGCCTCTGTGGCTCAGTTTGATGGACTGTTTTGAGACCTACACTCTCAGTTGGACTCTGTTTCTTTTTATTTCAGCTGGTGTTGATCTTGAACTCTTAGATCCAGGGGATGGGTTAAGGAGACCTTCAAGGGGGGTGCTTTCGGAGCTCAAGAGAGTGCTTGTTTACCAACTGGAACAAAATCATCTCACTATTTTACCCTAAAGTATAAGCATACTTGTGCATCTGGTGAATATCAGCTATTTCCGGGTGAAGATACAGAGACAGGGGTGGGTAAGATTGTTGGGAGACACGAATGCTCAGTCCCTTCCGCCACTGACACTGCCCCTCTCTCCTCTTAGCCGGCTCCAGTACTCAGGCTCAAGCTCCCCACTACTCAATGGACACCCCCAGCCTAGACCCGTTGCCTTCGCCTTTGCCTGGGGAGGAGGAGAAGCCTCTGGCCTTACTTCCTCCTGTTCCCAGGGGCCGTCGAGGCCGGCCATCGGGGGGAGCTGCCTCTTCCAATCGGAGGCTCAAGTCCTCTTTTCCTCGAAAGCGGGGCCGCCCGCCCAAAACCGCGCAGGAGCCCCCACTGGCGCAGGGTCTGACAGCGCCAGTGGTCAGTGGTGGAGACAACGACATCCTGTTGATCGATGATCAGGGTGTGCCCTATACAGTCTCTGAAGGGTCGGTGTCAGGTGGGCCCCAGGGCTCTGGCCCCAGAAGAGCCCCGCACTTCTGCCCTGTGTGCCTGCGGGCATTCCCCTACCTCTCCGACCTGGAGCGCCACAGCATCTCGCACTCAGAGCTGAAGCCACACGAGTGCAAAGATTGTGGCAAGACCTTCAAGCGGTCCAGCCACTTGCGACGACACAGCAACATTCATGCCGGCTTGCGACCCTTCCGCTGCCCTCTCTGCCCGCGCCGCTTTCGAGAGGCCGGGGAGCTGGCGCATCACCAACGTATCCACTCTGGCGAGCGCCCATACCAGTGCCCTTTGTGCCGGCTGCGCTTCACCGAAGCCAACACGCTCCGGCGCCATTACAAACGCAAGCACCCGGAGCTTGTGGGAGTTCCCGTGCGCCTATGTCCCCCAGAACCAATGCCAGAACCGCTGTGGGAAGAGGAAGGCATCCCCACCACAACAGAAGCACACGAGGAGGGGCCGGAAGAGAAGGAGCCCGCCTGATCCACATCCCTGGCCAAAGCTCCCTGGGCCGGGTTTATTGCACAGAGTTCACCTGGTGCTGAGCCCCGGCACGGAGGCCGGGACACCCTCATTTCTGGTGGTCTTCCCATCGTGGGAGGGGATCGTGGGTGGGGATCTAAACTTCAGGGTCCTGCTGCCTTCTGGCACCCTTCTGCGGACTAACAGGCCCGTGGAGGCCTGGGCCGTGGAAATAAATACCTGCCTACTGGTTTCTTGTGTGTGTTCCATAACGGTGCCTCTCCTGCCTTCCAGGGTTCTTCGGAAGGGAGTGTCTGGGATTTGAGAACGTGCCTCAGCATGGTCCCAGAGAATGAGTGGTTCGGAAGAAGGCTTTACCCCTCCCCCATCTCCATCAGACCCCAAAATACTCTCCGAAATAGCCATACTAAGTAAGACATTGAACCTTCTGTGCAAACGTGACTCCTCCTCCATCCTGGCCAAATTCCTAGAAATTTTGGGACACCTACCGCATGGTATGGCAAAAATGTTCAATGTAGAATTTCTGGGCATTGGGAAGGGAAACCTGAGTGAAGGCTGGAAGTGCAGCTCAGTGGTAGAGTGTGTGCCTTGAATGCTCAAGGCTCTAGGTTCGATCCCCAGCACTTAAAAAAATAAAATCAAGGGTGGGGCTTAGAAGAGGAGACTAAAGTTTGGGGTGAGTTTATAGAGGTTTAAGGGTTGGCTGGCAGAAAGATCAATTTAGAGGGAATAAAGGGCTTTTGACTGAGGAGCGGGGCTTAAGGGAAGAACTTCCTAAAAACAGTGTATTGAGAGGGGTAGGATATACCTGTTAAGGAAGGTGCTGAGGGGGTGGGCATGACTGCTTTAGGGACCTGGGACTGGGAGAGAGGAACCAAAGAGAGGGGGAACTTCTGAATAGGACTGAGTCTAGCTGGGGCTGAATTGGGAGCTAGGTTTACATAGATATGAAAGAGGCAGTGTTACTTGTGGTAAAGCTGTGGTTCTCAACTTTAGAGTGCATCGAATCGCCTTGAGGGTATTTAAAAACACGACTTCTTAGGCCCCACCCCAAGGGTTTCTAAATTCAGCAGGGCTGGAGCAGAGAGTCAGACGCTAACTAATACTGATGGTCGAGAACTACTGATTTAACGGAATGCTTTCTAGGAGTGCGGCACTATGAAAGGTGTAGCATTTGGGGCGGGGCTTAAATGTAAGGGGCGGGACAAAGCGTAAGTAGCATGGAGAGGCGGGACTTTGGAAAGGGGCGTGGCTTGGGAGGGAAAATGGAATTTCAGAGAGTAGGAGCTTGGAGTGAGGGAAAGAACTGGTGAAGAGAGAAGCGGAAAAAGAAAAAAGAACAGGTGAAACTGCGAAGGTGACGCAAAAAGGGCATATTTTGGTGCGGGGGCGGAGCATGTAATAAATACACTGAAGTAGGCGTGGCTCAGAATCAGGAGGCGGGGCTCAAGAGAGACTGGCGCCTAGGGCGTGCCTTAACCGGATGTCCGGAGCATGTGGGCGGTGCCCTAAGAAGCGGGTGCATAGGGCGCAGGCGCACCTGGTTCCGTTATCCCACCGGAAGCGGTTTTGGATTCCCAGCCGGCGGCCTCCAGACAGTGCGCAGGCGCACAACTTGCACGCTGTGGCAGCCGCTGCCTTCTCCTTCCATCCTCCACGCCGGCGCCTCGGGAACGGGCGCGACTTCCGCTTCCGGGCGGGTGGCGCGGGGCTGCCGGGGAGGGCGGGAGGGGGCGGCACTTCCGGTCGGGCCCTCGGGTCTCCCCGGAGCGGCGGTACCTCCTCCGCCTCCTCGGCCTCCTCCCGGCGGAGACCCCGGCGCCGGTGAGTGACGGGGCGCGGGGCCCGGGGGCCCGGGTGCAGCGGGGGCGGGGGGCCCCGCCCTGGTCTGCAGTGGTTCCCAGGACGCCCCCCCAGCATGTCAGTGCTTCTCCGCCGGGCCCTAGCCAGGAGACCCCCCTAAATCACTGCTCCCCATAAAACCACTTCATACATCTTTCCCTTGAATGCCCCCAGGTGGGACCCTTGCCAAAGCGTCATTACTAATGGTCCCCTCAATTGCCAGCGCCCCCCCACTAATGCTTTCTCACAGCCCCTTCCACATTCCCGTCATTGCATCCTCCACGACAGTCCCCCAGATGCCACCAGCATTGCACCCCACCTTGTAGAGTAGCTGCTCGTGAACCCTCTATTAGGATCCCTTGCGGGATTGCAAGGGAGAGTTGCTCTAGTGCTTTGCGACAGAACTGCCCTCCACTGTCTCTGACCACGCATAACTCTCCTCGAATGCCCCCTTTGTTGGTGTAAAAATACTTTTTATTCTGACCAATGCCAGAGTTTTTTTTTTTTCCTTCTTGCAACCCCCTCAAGAGTACCCATTTCGAACCCACCCCTCAATGGAACAGCTCCCTCTAGAGTTCTGCTTTAATACTCACATTCTCCTCCCCTTCAGGCAGAAACTTGCCTGCTTAGCACTAGGCTCTCAAGAAATACTTATGCCTCACCTCCCTCCTTACCCTTATCCTGGACCCTTCTGCCTTGAGTAATTCTGTCCCACAGCGGAGCTTGGAAGGCAGGTCTCCCGATCTACAGCTAGTCTCATGGCCTCCTGGACTTCTGGAGAAGACCCCCTCTGGTCCCACTAGAGTGTGACTCACAGCTTTTTCCATAGACATTTGTTCTTCATCAAATGAATATTCACTGTTCGAGGTCCAGGGCATACATTTGTGAAGGAGAGAGGAGCACAGTCTTTCATCATAAGGGGTTTTATAGTCTAATTGAGAAAAACTGTCAGAAACAAGTAAACACACAATGCAGTGGTGTTCTGTGGGCTTTCTGAGAGGATGGTGAGCTACTGCAGAGGTGAAACCTGAATCATGAGAGGTAACTTAACCATGCAAAGGCCCTAAGATGAGTGGAAGAGCAGCGGGGAAGGTGGGTGAGGTTGGAGCAGAATAGTTGAAAAGGGGAAAACAAGAGGAAGACTTAGTCCCCTAGAGCCTCGGGACACATTACCTGGTCTCTGTCAGCATTACTGAGCCCAGAATATTCTTCATAAGCACTTGTTCAACAGCTGTTTAGTGAGTGTCTACTTCATACTGGGGGTGGCACAGAACAAAACAGGCAAAAACGCCTCTCTAAAAGTGGGTATTCTAGTTGAAAGGGTAGACAGTTAATCAAAATACATATATGAGCCGGGTGCCAGTGGCTCACTCCTGTAATTCTAAGTACTCAGGAGGCAGAGATAGGAGGATCTCAGTTCAAAGCCAGCCTGAGCAAAATAGTTCCAAGACCCTATCTTAAAAAAAAAAAAAACCCATCACACACAAAAAATGGGCTGGTGGAGTGGCTCAAGGTATAGGCCCTGAGTTCAAACCCCAGTATTGCCCAAAAAAAAAACCCCAAAACATGAAGTAAAGTACATTGGGGGGTTAGGAGACAGAGTTATAGGGACCAAGGTGCTAGAAAGGCCTTATACCCAGTATCTCTTGTCACCTTGCTTCTCCAGTAAGTCAAAGAACAGAAAGTTAGATCTGGACAACTGTGGCCCCCTCAGGGAGGCTGGTTTTGACAGCTCCCCCACCCAGGGGGAGCAGTGATTAGAGAAGGAGCCCTGGGTTTTACTAGGAATCATATTTTCTAGCAAACCAGACTCTCGTTTCCTAACTTCACTAATTCACTTACCCAAGAGTACTTTCCAAGCCAGGCATCGTCATAGGTCCTAGGGACAGAAAATCTGGCCTCTGGAGCGGAAGACCAACAAAAGCAAGGCAAGGAAGCAGAGTATGTGGTGCACTAGATGATGACCAGTGGCACGGAGAGAACTGAAGCGGGGGGGGGGTGTGAGTAACGGCCTGCATGAGGGTCAGTGGTCACTGAGAGCCCCACTGAGAAAGAAGACACAGTTGAGCAAAGACAGGGTGGAGGTGAGGGAGGGAGCGAGGTGAGTATAGGGGAGTCAGGGCATTCCTGGCAAAAGCAGCAGCCCTGGCGCAAAGGCCCTGGGGCAGGAATGGAGACAGCACATTGGAGGAGCAGTTGGGAGTCTGGAGGCTGTGAAGGTCATTGTAAGGTTTACTTTGAATGAGATGGGATCACTTCCTTGAGCAGAAGGAGGGTCATGGCCTTAATCCTCCTTAATCTTGGCATTGGGTCAAACTGAGACTTGGGATTAGGTGGCAGGGAGGGGTAAGGCAAATCATATCTCCAGTATATGGTGGATTGGGGGCTCTATTTAGTTTGGAAGATAAAACATTGCAAGACAACATCTTGTAAGGGGAAGAGCATGGGATCTGGAACCCTACCACCTGTCTTCAACTCCTGGCCCTGATACTTGTTAGTGATGTGACTTTGTGAGATTAATTTATCTCCCTGGCCCTCAGTCTGCCTCTTCATTTATTTATTCAATTTCAACTCAGAACTTCACACTTGGGAGCAGGTGCTCTATCCTTTGAGCCACATTTGAGTCCATTTTGCTCTGGTTATTCTGGAGATGGGATCTTGCAAACTATTTGTAAGGGCTGGCCTTGAACCTTAATCCTCCCAACCTTGGCCTCCCAAGTAGCTAGGATTATAGGCATGAGCCACTAGCACCCGGCTCCCTATGTATTTCTGGATCAATAATTGGGACCATCTTTTCCAAGTGCTGGGAGGAGGGTTTAGAACATTTGACTGCTAAAAAGTACTCATTCAGTGTTCTATGTTACTCTGTTACCATTACTGTTACTAACAGACTAGAATTTCATCCCAAGGCAGTTTGTGGCAATGGAATGGCTCACAGGTCCTGGCATCAGAAACACCCAGAATCAGATTCCTGCTCTTTCCTTTGCCACGTCCTTAAGCTTGGAAGAATGAGTTTCCCTCTGCTTCTCAGCTTCTCCACTTACAAAATGGGACCAAATGGCCCAAACTTCTGTGAAACACCAAAGCAATGATAGGTATCAGACTGGTCAGCCAGTTGATGTGAGCTGTTAGATCTCTTGCATGCCCTGTGGTGGCACATCTTCTATGGCACATCTCCTCTTAGAAAGGCAGCGATCAAGGTTTGAGTCCCCTGAAAGGGGAGACGTCTTATTCCCATGTGGAAATTATCACAAGCCTAGTCAGTCCTGTATCCCATTAATGTGGCCCTTTCAACATCCTCAGAACACCAGTGTTCGGAATTCCTTTTCTGGAGACACCCTGTGTTAGCTGCATCTTTTCTAAATGTCCCCCTTCCTAAGGAAGTTCTAGTCAGCTTAATCTTACCCATTTACTGATTCTGTATATATTTATCAATATAGGCATTTACAGCTATAAATTTCCCTCACAGTACTGCTTTAGCTGCATCTCTTCAGTGTTCCTATGTTGTGTTTTTGTTTCCTTCATTACAAAATAGTCTGTTAATTTCCCTTATTTCTTCATGAACCCACTGGAGATTTAGGAAGGTTTTTTTGGTTTTATTTTTGCTGGGACTGGGGTTTGAACTGAGGGCTTTGCAGGGAGGTTTAATTTCTACCTATTAGCAAATATTTGTCAAGCAGTCACACACCAACTCTATATGGGCACTGTGCTAGTTGCTGGGGCCACAGTGGCAAAGCAGATAGGCTGAGTCCTTGCTTGAAGTGAGAGGCCACACAGTAAACACATGGTAAAGGAATGCACAGTGGGTGGGTGGCAGTAACTGTGATGAAAAGACAGCCGGATTATGGGTTACAGAGGGACGGGTCAGGACGTAGAGATCCAAATGGAGTCCGGAGGGATTTTTGCTTGTTTGCTGGTACTGGGGTTTGAACTCAGGACCTTGTGCCTGCTAGACAGGCGCTCTACCACTTGAGCCACTCTGCCAGCCCAGCAGGAGGGAATCTTGTTGATATCTAGGGAATAATGTTCCTGGCAGAGGGGAAAATCCATGTTAATGTTTACTCTATTCAGGATAGTAGAAACACCTGTCATAACCCAGAGAGCACCCCAAGTAAGACTCCTGCCTCCAGTGTTCCATTCCACCTGCTTCTATTCTCAGGGTACAGTCTCTGAGAAAACACTCCAAAGGGGTTGGGCATAGAGATGGGGTTCTCTTCTCGCTGGTCAAGCCAGTTGCTCCAATGTAGGATGTTGCTCTGGGACCTTGAGGAAGTCACTTGCCCTCTCTGTGCTTCAGTTTTCATAGGACCCAATGGAGAGCTGTGGTGGGATTCAGTGAATTAACAGGTGTAAAGTGCTTAGAATGGCGACCAGTCTATGTGCAATGCCCAGCTGCCACAGTTCTTAGTAGCTGTGCTCTACTGGAGCCAAGCTGGGGCAGGGACTGCCTCCCCACACCTCCACTGCCCCTGTGGTAGCCCTTTGTATTGATGCCTTGCTCCTTGCATCTTGACACCATGTGCTTTCTCCCTGGTCCCTGAGTTCTGGATGCAGGCTTAAACCCCAGATACCATGCCTTGGTCTTTCTAGAGATCAGATTAAATGGGGGGTGGGCATGGGGTGTTGAGCCTTGTCCAAAGACAAGGACACCCAAGAGTAAAAATATCTAAGTGTGAGGTAGAGTTGGGGGTGAAGAGAGAGCCAGCCAGGAGGGCCTGGGATGCATTTCCTCAGCTTTGGTTTGTTGAAGAAGATGAGGGCTGGGCACAGTTAGCCCAGGGGTGAGGGATGGCGGGCAAAATAAGAACCCCCCTCCAGACTCCTCTCCCATTGGCTCTCCAACAGCTCAATGGGGGCCTTTCCTGGTGTCCCTGGGTGGATCTTAACTCTGAGATCACCTACAGGAGCTGAGGTTCAAGAGGGGAGACAGGGTTCAGAGATCAGACAGCTCCAATTTGGAGTGAAAAGTACTCTAAAAGGAGGTGCAAGGGGTTGGTGGTGAGGCTCAAGCAGTACAGCACCTGCCTAGCAAGTGTGCTGCTCTGAGTTCAAACCCCAGTATTGCTTTTTTAAAAATTTAAAAAAGGAAGTGCAAAGAATACCTGCCTGCCTGGAAAAGTCAGGAGAAGCAACCCCCCATGCACATCACCCAAAGACAGGAACACAGGGTCCACCCAGGTGTATGATGTCATTGTCATCAGTGGTACCCATAGCTCAAGGTGTGGAATTCACATTATGTTGTATTTCAACCACCTTAAATCCCCCTGAGGTGTAGGGGTTGCATTTCCATTTTAAACATGGAGAAAGTGGGTCCTGGCAGAGATGGGATTGGAACCCGGGTCTTCCCAAGCCACGGGCCATGGTATGCCCTATTGTTTCAGTCTGCCTTCCAAAATGCCAGCACCCTTGCTGTTACTTATTTCTCGTAGGCAATCTGACTTTTCCTTTCCACTTTGCATTGAAAGAATACTCCTTCCCCCAATGCAGAGGTTTCTAGTTCTCTTGGCTTGTCCTGATCTCCCTGCTAATGCTAGAAATGGACAGTAATATCTTCTGTGTGTTGAGTGCTTACATATGCTAGGAATCATCTACCTTAAAAGCCTTCCAGCTGGGTGTGGTGGTGTACACGTGTAATCCCAGCAACTCAGGAGGGGAGACAGGAGAATAGAGGTCCAGGTCAACTCAGGGAAAAATGAGACCCTATCTGAAAAGTAACTAAAAAAGGGATGGGGCATGGATCCTCTTGACAACTTTGTCATGACATGCTTTGTCATCTGTTTGTAGTGAGGACATGGAGGCAGAGGGCTTCAGTAACTTGCTTGTGGCCACACAGCAAGAAAGTACAGGGCATTCTGGTTCAAGTCCCACCCAATCACTCTGGTAGGCACTGTTGGTATTAGCGTTTTACAGAGGCAACATGGTGGGGAGGGGAGATTGGGAAATAGGATGCCCAGCATCGGGTGGTGTTGGTGGTGGGGGGGTTTGAACAGAGGCTTGAGACTGAATCAGAGCCTGAAGAGGAGAGAAAGCAGGACCCCGCAGGGGTGTGCAGGAGAGAGTCTAGGGGTAGTTAGGGGAGATGCATGACGATCCAGGAAAAGATGGAGAGAAGGGCAGGAGTAGGGGCAGGTTAGGTCCTGGCCTGTGGAGCTAGAAGGAAGAACTGCTTTTTGGGTGTAAAGACTGGGACTAGAAGCCAGTCTGAAGATGAGTGCACGACGTGGTGCTCCTGCCAAAGCCTAGCACACAGCTTCCCTTGCCTGCTTGGTGCGTGCCCCTTTTCCTCAGCCCCACCCTCTTCTTTGCAGGGTCTCCCCTCTCCCCACCTGCCAGAGATGGAGGCAAACCCAGCAGGCAGCGGCGCCGGGGGTGGCGGGAGCAGCGGCATTGGGGGCGAGGACGGGGTCCACTTCCAGAGCTACCCCTTTGACTTCCTGGAATTCCTCAACCACCAGCGCTTCGAGCCCATGGAACTGTACGGGGAGCATGCCAAGGCGGTGGCGGCCCTGCCCTGCGCCCCCGGACCCCCGCCTCAGCCCCCACCCCAGCCCCCTCCACCCCAATATGACTATCCGCCCCAGTCTACCTTCAAACCCAAGGCAGAGGCACCTTCCTCATCTTCCTCCTCTTCGTCGTCCTCCTCTTCCTCATCCTCCTCCTCTTCCTCTTCGTCGTCCTCTTCCCAAGCCAAGAAACCCGATCCGCCCCTGCCACCTGCTTTCGGGGCGCCCCCTCCTCCGCTTTTTGATGCTGCCTTCCCTGCTCCGCAGTGGGGCATCGTGGATCTCTCAGGACACCAGCACCTGTTTGGGAACCTGAAACGTGGCGGACCAGCCGCTGGGCCTGGAGTGGCTCCGGGACTGGGTGCTCCCACTGGGGCAGCCGGGCCACTTCCTGCCCCCGCGCAGACCCCGCCTGGACCCACCGCTGGGGCGACCTGCGATCCGACCAAGGACGACAAGGGTTACTTCCGCAGGCTGAAGTACCTGATGGAGCGGCGCTTCCCCTGCGGCGTGTGCCAGAAGTCCTTCAAGCAGTCCTCGCACCTAGTTCAGCACATGCTGGTGCACTCAGGAGAGAGACCGTATGAGTGCGGCGTCTGCGGCCGTACCTACAACCATGTCTCCAGCCTCATCCGCCACCGCCGCTGCCACAAGGACATGCCACCAGCGGCTGGGGTCCCGCCGCCACCCGGAACCCCGCTCCCTCCGCTGGGCCTCCCCATACCGACGGCCAATGCCACCACCGCGGCCGTCCCTACCACAGTTTCCTCTGGTCCCTCTGCCACACCATCGGCTCCTGCCACCTCCGCGGATGGCAACTCTGCACCCGCTGCCCCTGCTGGTGTTGGCGTGCCACCTCCATCCACTGCGGGGGGCGAGGGCCCGTTTGCCTGCCCGCTCTGCTGGAAGGTCTTCAAGAAGCCCAGCCACCTGCACCAGCACCAGATCATCCACACAGGCGAGAAACCCTTCTCCTGCTCCGTATGCAGCAAAAGCTTCAATCGCAGGGAGAGCCTCAAGCGGCACGTGAAGACGCACTCCGCAGACCTCCTGCGCCTGCCCTGCGGCATCTGCGGCAAGGCGTTCCGCGACGCCTCCTACCTCCTCAAGCACCAGGCGGCCCACGCGGGGGCGGGGGCTGGGGGCCCCCGGCCCGTATACCCCTGCGACCTGTGCGGCAAGACCTACTCGGCGCCGCAGAGCCTGCTGCGGCACAAGGCTGCCCACGCGCCGCCTGCTGCCTCAGAGGCGGCCAAGGACGGGGCTGCCGTGGTACCGCAGCCTCCACCCTCCTTTCCCCCGGGTCCCTACCTGCTGCCCCCGGACCCGCCCGCCACAGACAGCGAGAAGGCGGCGGCGGCCGCAGCAGCGGTGGTGTATGGGGCCGTGCCAGTCCCCCTTCTGGGTGCCCACCCGCTGCTGCTCGGTGGGGCCGGTACCAGCGGGGCTGGAGGCTCGGGCGCCAGCGTCCCGGGCAAGACGTTCTGCTGCGGCATCTGTGGGCGTGGCTTCGGGCGCCGCGAGACCTTGAAGCGTCACGAGCGCATCCACACCGGCGAGAAGCCCCACCAGTGTCCGGTATGCGGAAAGCGCTTCCGCGAGTCCTTTCACCTGAGCAAGCACCACGTGGTGCACACCCGTGAGCGCCCCTACAAGTGCGAGCTCTGTGGCAAGGTCTTCGGCTACCCGCAGAGCCTCACCCGCCACCGCCAGGTGCATCGGCTTCAGCTGCCCTGCGCCCTGGCAGGGTCCACTGGCCTCCCCACCACCCAGGGTGGGACAGGGGCCTGTGGCCCTGGAGCTTCCGCCACGTCTGCCGGGCCAGCCGATGGACTGAGCTATGCCTGCTCGGACTGTGGGGAGCACTTCCCAGATCTCTTTCACGTCATGAGCCACAAGGAAGCCCACATGTCGGAGAAGCCATATGGCTGCGACGCTTGCGGTAAGACCTTCGGCTTCATCGAGAACCTCATGTGGCATAAGCTGGTTCACCAGGCTGCCCCGGAGCGCCTGCTCGCGCCGACGCCAGGCGGCCCCCAGGCCTCGGATGGCTCCAGCGGCACCGACGCCGCCAGCGTGCTGGACAACGGGTTGGCTGGAGAAGTCGGAGCGGCTGTGGCGGCGCTAGCCGGGGTGTCTGGGGGTGAGGACGCAGGCGGGGCGATGGTGACTGGGGCCAGTGGGGCTGCTAATTCAGGTCCTGAGCGCTTCAGCTGTGCCACGTGCGGCCAGAGCTTTAAGCATTTCCTGGGCCTGGTGACTCATAAATACGTGCACCTGGTGCGCCGGACCTTGGGCTGTGGCCTCTGCGGACAGAGCTTTGCAGGTGCCTACGACCTGCTCCTGCACCGCCGAAGCCACCGGCAGAAGCGGGGCTTCCGCTGCCCTGTGTGCGGGAAGCGCTTCTGGGAGGCAGCCCTATTAATGCGCCACCAGCGCTGCCACACGGAGCAGAGGCCCTACCGGTGTGGTGTGTGCGGCAGAGGATTCCTGCGCTCTTGGTACCTGCGGCAGCACCGCGTGGTGCACACGGGTGAACGAGCCTTCAAGTGCGGTGTGTGCGCCAAGCGTTTTGCTCAGTCTTCCAGCCTGGCGGAGCACCGGCGGCTGCATGCGGTGGCCCGGCCTCAGCGCTGTGGCGCCTGTGGCAAAACCTTCCGCTACCGCTCCAACTTGCTGGAGCACCAGCGGCTGCACCTGGGCGAACGCGCCTACCGGTGTGAGCACTGCGGCAAAGGTTTCTTCTACCTAAGCTCCGTGCTACGTCACCAGCGCGCTCACGAGCCGCCGCGGCCCGAGCTGCGCTGTCCTGCCTGCCTCAAGGCCTTCAAGGATCCCGGCTATTTCCGTAAGCACCTGGCAGCCCATCAAGGTGGCAGGCCCTTCCGCTGCTCCTCCTGTGGGGAGGGTTTCGCCAACACCTACGGCCTAAAGAAACACCGCCTGGTGCACAAGGCCGAGGGTCTTGGGGGGACTGGAACAGGGGCAAATGCCTTGGCGGGGAAGGACCCCTGACTAAGGGCCTTCTATCTCTAACTCCAATCAGATATTCCCTTCTGGACTTTCCCTCCTGGAGCTGCTGATCAGACACTCCCACTCCCCCTCCTGTCGCCCCATCCTTCAGAACTTCAGGGCCCATGCCCTACAAACTCAAGACTGAACCACTCCCATCCTGGACCTCTCAGTTCCTTCATCCTGGCAGACACTGAACTTGATCCTCTGTCCCACCCTCTTTCATAACCCTCATCAGCCACCCCAGCAGCATTCTGGTCCCGTTGAACTTTTTGATGGAGATGGGTCTGAGTTGCCCCCTTCCTTTTGAGTATGGCTGGACAGTGAAATAAGAGGGAGCAGAGTTGGGAGGGCCCGTGGTGGGGGTCTGGGTGCTCTTGGATTGTGGGGTGGGGGGTTGGGATGGCCGACGCGGCTTGTACAGAGCAGAGAACAATAAATCTTATCAACATGGCTTCAGGAACCTGTCCTTGCATCCCCCGGTTGGGCGGGGTAAAGCATCGGCCAAACACAAGGTTGAGAATTTTGTACCCTTGGGGATTTCGACTCCGTGGCACCTTCTGCCTCACACTTAGGCTGGTATTTACCATATTCCAAGTTTTAGTCTCTGAGTTGGACAAGTGGAGATGAACAAAGCAGGGAGTCCAATGTGGAACTGACTTGATATGCCTCTCCTTTCTCCTCTTCATCATGCTTTCAGTATTTGTTCACTGGGCCACCACTTCCTGAAGCCTGTCTGCCAAGTCCCAAGCTGGGGACTGGGGGAACTGCTGGGTAGGACATGCCCTTCACCCTCCCATAAAATGGCACAGAACCCCTATGGTGTGTGTGGCAGCCTTGTGCAGGCTCATTTATTATACATCTTCATAGGGCATGCCCCTCCAAAACAATGATTCAAAAGTCCTTCCACAGGTTTCATTTTGGATCTCAGGACAGTGAGATCAATGCAAGTTTAGTTCTCCCTTTGTCAGAAAAGGATCCTGGGGTCCTGGAGAACAAATGGGCTCCAAGAGCATCTGGCAAATCCATGGTAGAATTGGGACTCCAAAACTGCACCTGTGGAAGGGGCACTGCCTGGGCTGGTGACCCACAGGATGGCAGCAACCCAGCATGGCCACTGTGTTGTAATTCTGCACACTCAGCAGAATCAGACCTTGTACCAGGGTTCAAGTCACATGGAAGTAGACCATCACAGCATAAGGGACATGGAAGTATTGCTAGGGGATATACTATACTTCTAGCCTTCATGGGGGTGAAGGCTAGAAAAGCTTTTTTGGGGAGAGGGTGATATGTGGACAGGGACATAAAGTAACAGGAACTTGCCAGGTAAAGAAGTGGGCAAATCCCAGGTAGAGTTTATTATGCCCAGCAAAATCTGGCTCTCCTGGAAAATTTTCAGTAGATTAGTATGGCTGGAGATCAGGGTATATGTAGCTGGATCCTGAAGGACCCTGAATTCTAAACTGTAGAGTTTGCAAGACTTTGTAGGCTACCAGGTTGGATATGACTCAAAATGCATTGAGTCGCTGCATTTAAAAAAAAAAAAAAAGGGCCGGGATGTAGTTGCTTACAGGCCCTGAGTTTGATGTAGTTGACATCATTATAAAATCAGTGTCTGAAAATTTTGGAAGCTCTAGCAACCTAATCTGCCTCCCTACCAGAGTAGGCACTCCCCTCGCTCCATGGGTGTACACTCCAACTTCCCAACAGCCCCACACTGCTCATTGTTAAAACTGAACTTGGAGCCCCGATTTTTACCTTGCTGGTATTTCCCCTTGCATCTGGCCACCTTACTTATTTACAGTGCCGCCCAGCTCCTGTAGGTTATTCATGTTTGTGATACCTTCTCAAAGGGGCTGTGGATTGATGACGAGGACCCATGTGGCGGTAGCTTGAGAGAATAAAGAGGGCAGAACCTGAGAGTTGGGCTGCTGCAGTTCTCCACATGTGAGACCACTGTTGGCTTGCTCTATAAAAGCAGTGATGATGTAGAGAAGCACTCACATTCCAGCAATACTGAAATAGTTCACACAGGGAAATCCACAAGAGACGAGATGTGAAAAAAGGCTTAAGGAACCTACCCCTTTCTATCTTGAGTAGTGGTACTGATGAGGTGGGAGGCCTGGATATTTCTTTGGAGTTAAACTGGATGAGTTTTGTCATGGGTCACCTGTGGGTATCTCATGGAGGTGCTGGGTGAACAGGACACACTAGCAATCATGTCCAAGAGTGTCATGGGCATCATTTCATTTTGCCAAACTTGACATCCCTTCCACAGCCAAAACACACATCTCCAGACCGGCCATTCACCCGCATTTCAAAGGTGAAGAAAACAGAGGCTTGGAGAAAGATGCAAGGCAACTTACTGCTGGTGACAAGACACAGCATGGCCCTTCCACCACTTCCCAAATAGAAGACTGACAGAGATAAACCCTTCAGAAAGTCCTTTAATAGGAAAAGACTGGAGGTTCCCCACCTCCAGCTCCCAAATCCTTCTATTCCATGCTGCACCCACCATGCTGCAAACAGCCAGTCCTTCTTATAGCTGCTTTGGATTCAGAGTGGAGGAAATTAGGGGAACCTGAGGCTATTTAGTAAACATGGGGAAACACAGGATCAAAGCCTGAAGCTTAGGTAGCTGCTTGCCGTCTGTGTTCTCAGTTGCTGCCAAAAAAGGAGTTGGCATAGGTTATGGAGGTGGAGGAGGCAGAGTTTGGAGTCAAGATCCTATGGCCAGGCTGAACATCCTTGAGGCTCAAGTACTCTCGGCTGTGACTTGACCTTCTGGCTTTGAGATGATGGGATCCCAGAGTGTCCTTACAGAACACCTGGTGGGCATCTTCTACCTGGAGGTGGGCAGACATCCCAGGTTCAGTGCAATCCAGTGAGGTAGGCAAAAGGTTCCATCCTGTCCACCCTAGGGACCCCTGAGATGGTCCAGGGTTCTGCAGATGAAGGACTGGACCAGGAACACTATGGTGGACCCTGAGTCTACCCTTTTACTCAACCCTGGCTCCTCATCTGTCTGTCCATGCCCTGTTGGGACAGGTTGTGCCTTGTAAAAAAGACAACCTACACAGGATGCAAGAGGGGCAGTGAAACCAGCCAGTATAGGTGGCTCATGCCTATAATCCTAGCTACTTGGAAAGCTGAGGTCGGAAGGATCCAGGTTCCAGGCCAGTCCGGAAAATAGTTCTCCAGACCCCATCCCCAAAATAACCAGAGCTGGAGGTGTGGCTCAAGCGGTAGAGTGCCTGATTTGCAAGCATGAAGTCCTGAGTTCAAATCCCAGTCCCAACAACAAAAAAAAAGAAGAAATGTGGCATGTTCTCACATGTAGCTAGCTGTGCGCTCACAGAGCTGCACTCCTGCCTTCCTCTTCAGTATCACCTACGTGTAGTATGGGTTTGTGGGAATCAAGAACCTGGTTCTTTCCCTCTGTCCTCCAACACCAGCTGGTCACTATGCCCTCTCTGCCCTTGGCTCCTTTTACCCACCCCATTCCCTATAATCTGCTTCCTGTTCGTGAGTTAATTTACCAAGCCCTGCTCTTCCATCCTACTGGTCAATTTCCACCTTCATCTTCACAGTCTCTCCACGTCCCTCTCCCATAGTGTCCCCATTCCCACACCTGCTCCCAGAGCCCTCGGCCACCAAGGAGCCCAGCTGGCCTCCAGAGTCTCCCACCCCAGGACCCGGGCCGTGGAAGTGGGTGCGCTGGTGCTTGCGGAAGTTGGAGGAGTTGTTGAAGGTGCGGTCGCACAGCGCGCAGCGGAAGGGGCGCTCGCCGGTGTGGATGCGGGCGTGGCCACTCAGCACCGAGGACTGCGTGAAGCCCTTGCCACAGACGCCGCAGTGGTACGGCCGCTCACCAGTGTGCACCCGCTCGTGGTCTCGCATGTCTGAGGAGCGGCGGAAGGGCTTGGCGCAGAACCTGCAGGCGAAGGGCTTCCCCACGGCTGCACCCGCGGCCGCCGCGGCCATCACCACCTCGGACCTCTCCTGGGGCACCCCTGGGCTCGGCTCTTGGGCTGCCGCCGCCTGGGGAGGCCTGCGAGAGATGCCCGGCTGCGCCCCGTGCCGGTGCTGGTGCCGGAGCAGAGGCGCCAAGGCCTTGAAGGCCCGTGGGCAGAGCGAGCAGCGGTAGGGCCGCTCTCCAGTGTGCAGGCTGTAGTGGGCACGGAGGCTGGCGGGACCTGGGCAGCTGTGGCCACACACGTGACACCGGCTCGGGTCCCCACTCTGCCCTCCCCCATCTGCACCCGCCAGGTGGCCATGTTCGTGGAACAGTAGCTCCGAGACCAGCCGGAATGCAGCTGGACACAAGGCACAGCGAAAAGAGCCCGGCTCTGGGGGCTCAGATACCAGCGTGGTGTCTGTGACTTTCACAACCTGGATCTCGATGAGGTTACTCGGGGGTGTGGCAGGGCGGCCATCATCAGACACTAGGACCTGGTGGAGGGGGGAGAAGAAAAAGAAGCCTGTGGCATGACCTGCTGACATGTCTGTACTTATTAAAACATCTACTCCTCCGCAGTCCAGCGGGCCCTGGCTTTCTAGGCCCCTGTATTCTGCAGTATCCCCATCACCTCCTCCCCTCCTGCCCCAAATATATCAGACTCTTCTCTCCTCCACCCTAATTAAAACCCTCATCATTTCATGCCTTAACAACTGGGAAACCCTCCTAAAGGGATTTTCTGTTCCTACTCCTGCACCCGAGTGGTCTCTTGAACACGTAAATCAGATCAAACCAGTTTCTCCATTCAGAGCCCTCCTACTGCACTTAAAAACCCAAATCGTAACAGCAATATCCACCATGCTCTGGCTCCTGCTTATCTCTGACCCCATTGTGAATATAAGCAGGCACCCAGCTGACTTCTGTCGTCTAAATTTAGCTTCCCCCACCCCCACTCTATCAGCTCATTTTAAAATTTCCTTTCTAGAACATAACACAAAAAAATCTCGTTTATCATCTCTCTGCCTTCAAAGGATGGCAAGCTACAAGAGAACACAATCTTTGTCCACCTTGGTCACCTAATTTATACAGCCCAAACAAGAGCTCAATAAATGTAAATAAATAAATGTCCTCACCCTCCAATCCTGAGTTGGAGGAACGTTGGACGGGGTTCTAAAGTCCTCTGGAACACCAATTTCTCCCCCAAATCCTTCCTTGTGCCATTGAGAGCCATCTCTTGCAGAATCACTCCCCACCCGAACATGGTGACCTGACCATTACTCGCCCCCCCCTTTCAGAGTCACCTTCCCGACCTTCCATCCAAGCACACTGACCCTAAAATCTCCCTGATGCCTCGCCTCTCCAAAGACTGCACCCTAATCATGCAAATTAACCCCTGGGGTCCTCTCCCAGGACCCAGCCACGCCCCATAGACAGTTCTGTCATCAAACCTCTCAACTAGGCCCCGCCCCTCGCTCTCCATAGGCTCCTCTCCACACCACGCCCCCATCACAACCTGGTGAAGCCCCGCCCCCGCGGTCAGAAACCTAATACCACCTCCGTCCAACCCACATAGGCCCCGCCCTGGCCCCGCCCCCTGCCCTGAGACCTCCCCTCCCTCCCCCGTCTCAAGCCTTCTGCCCAGGCCCCTTCCTCGCCCGCACCAGGTCTGGCGGCTCCGGGGATCGCGACTCCGGTGTCGGTGAGCTCGGAATCGGGGGCTCCGGGCGCGCAGCAGCCATCTTGTGCCCAAGCCCCGTCCCCGAAGCCAATGATCGCTCTGGAAAGGGGCGGGGTTCAGGCTGGCGTAAGAGGTACTACGCAGGCGCACTGCAGAGCGGCGAGGGGGCGTGGTGAGGAGGGGGCGTGGCTGGGCGTGTTAGGGGCGTGGCGCTCCTGGAGGATGGAGCCCCAGGGAGACAGATCCATTTTCTCTCCTAATTACCTGTCAGTCCTGGGCGAGGATACTCAGCGTGGCGCTGGACTTTCTACAGCACCCTGGCAACGAACCTGGACGTCTCTTTTTAACCAACACAAGCCCACCCGAGGCTTGCTCAGTGGAACCTTACCAGAAGCGAAGAACCTTTCTTTTGTTTGCACAGAAAACACTTTTGTGGTTATCTTCTCTGCGTGGCTCGTGGTAGCATAGTGGTTGGTGCAGTTTCTGAATGTAAGGTTCTCTTTAAAAAAGAAAAAAGTCAGTGTCGAGAAAGATATTCAGCATACAGCAGCGCAGGTGCTCCTGAAAGGAAGCAACACCCCCCCCCCGCCCCCTTGGTGGTGCGATGTTGGGAGAAAGGGCTGAAAGGCCGAGTTTTTGGCAGCACCAAGGACAGGGCTCTTAGCCACTCCACTGACTCATTCCACTGCCTGGCTGCGTGGCCTTGGATAAGTCACTACCCTCCTCTGGACCATTTCTCTTCCTACTGTAAAAAACTGTAGAAGTGTTGTGAAAACCCAGTAAGAAAGACAGGAGACCTTTGATACGCTCTTAATCTGTTTTCTTAGAAGGGCAGAGCAGGAGCTCCCTAAATATTACAATCAGTCCTAAATTCCTTCTGGGAACATGATATGATTACATTTCTCTTTGAAGTTAAATGTGGCCATGGGATTTTCTGTGGATAATTATATGTAAGTGAAACAGATGTATGTCCCCCTCAGGACACATGAAGAGACATCGGGCCACCCACAGTCTCCTATTTCTATTATTCTTTCGTAAGGGATGGTTAGTGGAAGTATCTTCCATCAGCCTGAGTTTCCAAGCAACTGCAACAAATCTAAACTGATACTAGCCTGCCTTAGATATATAACATTCAAAATCGGCACCGTGTTAAGCCACTGAATTTTGAGGATGTCCTGTTCCTTCAGGACAATTTTGGCCTCCACAACACTAAGCATGTATCCTACCACTGAGCTATATCCCTAGTCTGGGATATGTAGCCTTTAAAATAAACTCATTGTGCCAAGTACTAGGGCTCATGCCTAAAATCCTAGCTACTTAGGAAGCTGAGATCAGGAGGATTATGGTTCCAAGTCAGCCCAGGCAAATAGTTCATGAGATTCCGTCTCCAAAATAACCAGAGCAAAATGGACTGGAGGTGTGGCTCAAGTGGTGGAGTGCCTGCTTTGCAAGCATGAGCCCTGAGTTCATACCCCAGTCCCACCAAAATAAATAAACATACTCACTGTGTTAGTCCATGGAGCTTTGGGTTTATTACTGCAGCATAACCTTAACAAGACAAACCTTAGTTTGTCTTAACTGATATGCAGTCTTTTTTTTTTTTTTTGCGGTACTGGGGCTTGAACTCAGGGCCTTCACTTTGAGCCACTCCACCAGCCTTTGTTTTTGTGATGGGTATTTTCGAGATAGGGTCTCACAAACTATTTGCCAGGGCGAACTTTGAACCTCAGTCCTCCTGATATCTGCCTTTTGAGTAGCTAGGATTTCAGGCGTGAGCCACCGGGTCATTATATAAATATTTATATTTGTTTTATAATGAACTATTTCTGTATACAAAAGGATACAGAATAACATAGGTAACTCCTTGAACTTACAAAAACATACCAAAAACAGTCTAAGTGCTCTGTGTACTTCTCCATCTATTCTCCTCCCTCCCTCAACTGAGGTTATTAGATTTTTCACCTACTATTTTTCCATGCTATATGTATAAAATGGTATGATACTGTTTGGCATGTTTAAATTTTTTCTGGCAATACTGGGGCTAACCTTGTGCTTGCTGGGCAAGCACTTTACCACCAGTCCTTTTTTCCTTTAATTATGTTTTTTTTTTCAGGTAAGCACTCATGCTTTTGCATGGGGCAGTCTTGGACCCTATCCTGGCTTTTTTTTCTTTTTTGGTGGGACTGTGGTTTGAACTCAGGGCTTCACACTTCAAAACAAGCATTCACAAAGCAGGTGCCACACCTTCAGTCCATTTTGCTCTGGTTGTTTTTGGAGATAGAGTCTCCCAAACTATTTGCCCAGGCTGGCCTTGAATCTCAGTCCTCCCAATCTCAGCTTCCCAAGTAGGTAGGATTACAGGTGTGAGCCACTGGCAACTGGCTTCTGGCTTATTTTTTGAGATAAGGTCTCACTAAGTCTTTTTGCACAGTGTGGCTTACAACCACAATCCTCCTATCTCCACTCCCTGTGTAGCTGGAATTACAGACATGCACCAACATGCCTGGCTCCAATGTTGTTTTATACTTTTCTGTTGTTACATACAGTCCAGTCACACGTTGGGGATGTTGACATGATAGCCCACTGATGATTAGGCTATGTTATATTTATTTATTCTTCTGTTGATGGACATTGGGTTGGTCGAAATTTTTACTATTTCAAATAACTGCCATAAACCCTTTTGCTCATGTCTCCTTGAATACAAAGGGAGATTTCTCCAGATTTCATGCCTAGGAGCTGAATTGATGGAGCATAGAATACAAACATCTTCACCTTCCACCTTCACCTCAGTAAACATTGCCAATTTGAGCCGGTGGTGGACTCCAGATTCATCCCCCAAAAGAATCATGTATTAAAGGCTTGGGTGCCAGCTGATGGACTTTTGAGCAGTGATTGAGGACTCTGACCTCATCAGTGGATTAACCCACTGATGGAATCATAATTTTTTTGATGGTGTTTAGGTTTGAATTCAGGGACTCATGCTTGCTAGGCAGGCGTTCTATCACTTGAGCCATCCTCCAAGCCCTTTCTGCTTTGGTTATTTTGAGATAAGTTCTTCCATTTATGCTTAATTGGCCTGGACCACAATCCTCCTATTTATGCTTTCAGTGAGGCTGGGATTACAGGCAGGTACCACCATGCCCAGTGTTTACTGATTGATTTGTGATCTCACTAACTTTTTGCCTGAACTGGCAATCCTCCTGATCTCCACCTCCAAAGTAGCTAGAATTACTGACTTGAGCCATGTGCCTGGCTGGATTCATAATTTGATGGCATTAGGAGGTGGTAGAAACTAGGAAGTAGGTCACTGAAAGCATACCCTATAAGGGTATTTTGTCTCTCTCTTTCTTGCCCTCTCTCTTTTCTCTCTCTCCTTCCCTCCAACTTCCTGGCCGCCATGATGTGAGCAGCTTTACCCCACCACCACAATATTCTGCTTTGCCTTGGGCAAAAAGCAATGGAATCAGCCAACTTTGGACTGAAACCTCAGAAACCATGAGCCAAAAACACCTTTCCTCCTTTAAATTGTTCTTTTCAGGTGTTTTGTTACAATAACAAAAGGTGAGTAAAACAGTTATAATCTGGGAACTCTTGGGTAAATTATTTAACTTCTCTGTGGTTTTCATGGACACTGGCACTTGTGCCTTTCTGACTTCACTTATCCTTAAAATATATTAAAAATTATATATGTTTTGTTTTGGTGGAACTGCGAAAAATTATATTCTATAACTACATTGGTATAAAGTTAAACATAACCTAGGCTGATTATATTCTTTTTCCTTCTGACTTTTTTTTTTAGACAGAATCTTACTATGTTGCCCAAACTGGTTTTGAACTCCTGTGTTCAAGTGGTCCTTCCACATTAGTCTCAAGAGCCAGGTACCCGTGGCTCCTGCCTGTAATCCTGCCTACTCAGGAGGCAGTGACCAGGAGGATCAAGATTTGAAACCAGCCCAGGCAAATAATTCTTGAGACCCTATCTCAAAAATACCCAGTACAAAACAGGACTGGTGGAGTAGCTCAAGCAGTAGAGTGGCTGCCTAGCAAGTGTGAAGCCTGGATTCAGATCCTGCAACCACCAAAAAGAGTAACTGCAGCTGCAGGCATGCTTCACCACACCCAGCTTCCTTCTAAAGGGAATTAAAACTTTTGTGAGCCCCTGTGAGTATCATGGCTGTAGGCATTTGTATGCACTTGCTGGGTCTTGGTTTCCTAATCCACAAAATCAAGATTATAATGCTACCTACTTCACACAGTTTCTATGATGATTTTAAAAAAAGTCATTATAAGGTGTTTTGAATAATGTATAATACAAAGTTGGCACAGGGTACCAGCTATATCAATTATTTTGGGGGCAGTATTGTGGCTTAAACTCAGGGTCTCCCACTTGCTAAGCAAGTGCTCTACCACTTGAGCCATGTGCTCAACCCTTTGTGCTTTTTTTAGTTTGTTTTTCAGGTATGATCTCATGGTTTTTGCCGGGGACTGGCCCAGGATGGTGATCCTCCTAACTCCACCTCCTGCATAGCTGGGATGACAGGTGTGTGTCATCATGCCAGGCTCTGCTATACTTATTTTTACCAATTTATATTCCCATCAGCAATGATTGGAGGCCCCTCTTCCTTGGCATCCTCAGGAATAGCCAAACTTTAAAATTTTTGTCAATCTGTTGGGTGTTAGATGATTTCTCACTGAGAATCTTTTTGCTAAATGAGAAACATGGCACGCAAAATTCATTCTGTGTTTTCTCTTGTATGAGAGCTAGGACAATTTCATCTCTGCTTCCCCACATAGAAGGTATGCAGATGCCTCAGTGAGTGTTTATGAGTGACTGATTAAATTAGTGCAGCTAGTAGAACTGGGAACCAGACCTTGAGATTATGAGAGCATTAATTGTTTGGAAACTTAAAACAAAAACAAGCCAGGCATCAGTGGCTCAAGCCTGTAATCCTAGCTACTTGGGAGTCAGAGTTCAGGAGAATCGAGATTCCAAGCCCAGTCCTATTTCACAAGACCCTATCTCAAAAATACCCAACACACAAAAAGTCTGGTGGAGTGGCTCAAGTGGT